AATTTTTATTATCCTGTTGTTACTTAATGGTATGCTTTGTTTTGCACACCAGCTTCAGAGGGTTTGAGTAAATTACTTCATTGTTTAATTATTAAGTTGAAGATGACATGCTTCAGTTTCCCTCTTGTACTGCAGTTTAGGCTCTTTTTTTCTTTAATGTGTGAAGCTTCAAATAATTTGCTGCCACAGAAACTTTTTCTTAGAACAAGGCACTTGCTAGTTACTATTTCAGCAAGCAAAAGGTTTTCTTTTCCTGAAAAGAATCATATACAATGTTACAGGCTTACTTATGAGGGACAGTGCTCCCCCCTTTCTAGAACAGACAGGCAGTTTGCAGACACCACTTTGGATTTGAAAGCAAGCTAAAAGTGCTATTAACTCAGCTTGGAACAGAGACACAGTGAAGTTTCAGGGCTTGGATTCTTAAAACAATGGTTTGTTTTTTTAAAGAGTAAATTTAACCTTAAGGATTGAATGTATAGATTTTATTTTTCTATACAGTTAACCAGTTAAGTATCAATCGAATTTCTTCTTTACTTTCTACTATGCCTATAGGACTCTAAACTCTTTGCTTTCTCCTTTTACATGCTTTTTTTTTCCCCCCCCTTCTTTCTTATGGTCTATTTTGATTCCTGCTAAATGACCTTTTCTAATGACACAAGTTTATCTAATATTAATTTGGTAAGGAGAGTGGGCTTTCCAATTAGCCCTCACACCTCCTTATTTTTTTTAATATGTAAATCTAAATGTGTATTATTGCAGTCAGCTATTATTAATTTTAAACTTCTCAGTATAGGGTTTTCATAACATCCATGCTGCAGCAGTTGATTTATGCTGCTGATTCTGGGGTGGATCACTTGCTTATGCTCTGTTAAGGAGATTTATGTTGCAGAATGTGTCCCCTTGTTAGGGCAGATTTAGCTTCTGGTGATTACATCTTTAAATTTAATTTTTACCGGTTGACTTTAGGGTGGCTTTTAGGTTACTTCCTTCCACGCCCTTAAGCTAATTATAACAGCATGTGAGGGAAGGGTTTTAACTGTTTTGTTTTGTTTTTTTGGACGGCTTCTGCTCGTGCGTTGTGAAACATCTTTGAATTGCCTGCGATTTCAGCCGGAGAGGCTGTAGTTATCTATTTGCTAACAAGGCTTTGAGAATCTCTTGAAGTTGGTTGGCAGACTTTCCTACTCTTGTATTGTGTTCTGTGTAAATGTTTCTAACTAAAATGCCTAGGGTTAATATGGCTTGATGGTCGGCAGGCATTCTTTCCTTGAGAATTTGGAGGAATACTTCCCATCAGCTGTTAAGTTTATTTGCTTTGAATCGGGCAAAGTTGTTACTAAAGCCCGTTTTTTCATTGGGAAGAGCTGATCTTTTTTAGTTATCTTTCATGCCTGCTCTCTAGCTATAACGATGTATAGCTCATATGGGTCTGGGCATAGAGAGGAGTAAAGGGGTAATGTGTCAAATTCCCCCTCTAAGCTTGGGAGAGGCAGCACAGTTGATATGGGTGCGCCAGCTGAGAAATCCTTTCCTCTCACTCCTCGTGCATTCTTTTGGCACAGAGGCACTGCTGCTTGTAAGTTACATTTCTTACCATAGGGAGGATTTCTTTTTGCTTTTCTGAGCTTCAATTTTATCCTTCAGGGCTTTAATTTCTTTTCTGTTAATCTGTTAAATGCTTACAGGTCCTTGGACCATGATGCACATACATGTAGTAGGTGCCTTTGTGCAGTGGGGGTATGCTTAAACTGATTCCTATTCATTTTAGTTATTCAGGGGAGTATTTTGTCCACTCTTTGTTTGTTCAGTGGCTTATAGGAAACTAAATCTACATACTCTAAAGAAGGGGTCTGCTGCGTTTAGAGTGTCAGACCTTATTAGCAGCTTATGAAATAAGGGGAGTCGTTACTCCCTCACATATGCGCTCGGCCTCAAGGTTCGGCTGACCTCCCCTTGCATTTAAGACCTTGTCAGCGGCATTCACTCCTCATACATCAATTTGCATTCATTCAGATGAGTGATTATAAATGTGGTTTTTAACATACTATCAGTAGGAGAAATAGGATTATCTCTAGCAGGAAAAGGAGCACTCCTTGGGATTGAACAAATAATGACAGGGTATGACATACAAACACACAACACGTGGTCCGGAAAACGCAGAGGTTTAGCGGATCACACTTCCTTCCTGCTTCTTCTTTTTGGTACCTCCTTGGGGAGTCCACACACGACTTAACTGTCCCTCTTTAGCTTCATCTTTCAGACGTACTGTTAGGGATAAGCCTTTTCCTCTGAACTTCCGTGTATGGGCTTATGCCGTACGGTCTTCTCTTCTTGTAGCGCCTCTTGGTACCTTCACAATTGCTGGCGGGGATTTGCACTATGCGAGAGTGTGTACGTTAAGTGCCTGTTGGGGGGCGTCCGCCAGGTCTTACAATGTTACGTGCAATGAGAGAGTGGGTCACCAGTTCGTGCTGCCTGCCGCCTTGCGTACTTGGCCAATCCCGAGCTTAACGTATGGCTCAATCACTCCGTGGTGATTTATCCAGTCTCTCCGTAACGAGCCCCTTAGTTCTAACAGTACACAACTCTCTTGTGCTCGTCCCCTGTGGGGGGTTAGATGTTCCTCCCTCCCTCTTTCAGGCTTGCTTCATATACTTGGTTCACCCTCATCCAGGTATCTCATGCCTCAATGGGAACGGAACCAGGATGTGTATGAAGGAAACCAGAGACGTCAACCCCTAGACCTAATGAGGTGGTAAATTAAATATACTCACCTCTCTTGGGTTTCAGTCTCCAGCTCCCGATCAGCTTACAAGCCTGAATCTCGGACGAGCCCCCGAACTGTTGGAAATAAGCTAGGACACTCTGGATGCAGGTGAAAACAAGCGGAGGATTTATTATACATCAGCTGATGGAGTGACACGCAGGGGTTACCCTGGTGAACACTGGTTAATTAACACTATACAATAGGTTATATAGTCAGCAGGTGGACGGAGGAAAAATGATTTGATAGGTCTAGCAGCAAGACGAAATGAGCACATAAGCCAATAGAACTACTAAAGATTACATAATATCTCCGCCCATTGCAAAGTAACAGCTCGTTAATTAATACATATAGGTGGTTATTGTTTAAATGCCAAAACATGTCTACAGACTGGAAGGCTTTTTGTGCTGTCCTACCCCCTAACAAAATCCCTTAGCTCCTACTGGCTAGTTAGGATATCTAGAAAAGGGTAGTACCCCTCACATCCATCACAGCTCATTTGAGGGTTAGAATCTGTCATGAACAGGAGGAGTGCTGACCAGCACCCGGTGACTAAGGAGTTAACTCTAGTACCTACCAAAGGTGTTGGCCAGGAGCACCAATCAAGATTCAGGTTTGAAATTTGAATGGGATATAAGTTCCCTGCCTGCTTTCTTTGTAAACTTAAAAAACAACAAATGGTCTGGTAGCACTTTATAGACTAACAAAACATGTTGATGGTATCATGAGCTTTCGTGGGCACAGCCCACTTCTTCAGATGACTGGAGTTATGAGTTTAGGATGTACAGACCCAAAATAAATAGGGGAAAAGTAAGAGGAGGGAACAAAAAAAATGGAAGGGGGAGGGAAACAAAGAGCAGAGGGTATGAAAATATCAAAGGGAAAACCAAATAGGCAGAACTGGTAATCTACAAGCACCTAAAGATTGGATAGTTAAAAGAAGCAGATAAGGATCATAGGATAGCAATTAGAGAGGAACGGTACTAACGCAAGAATCGACACAGACAAAGAGCTGGTGGCACCTTCATTGAATGTTAGGTTGATAATGTCCCAGCCATCCACTATCTCGATTTCTTTGTGTGGGAGAGTTAAACCAGGAGTTGAGAGACAGAGAATGATTTAAACCCAGGCAGGACTACCATGCCCCCCCACAGAATTCAGGGTATGGGAGCGGACTGAACAAAGAGAAAATTAGTGAGTACCAGGAAATGTGAGTCCAGTCAAATTGAGGGTAATTTTTCTTTATTTTGTGGTTTGGTTTAAACTGCTCTGTGCGGTACTAACGCAAGAATCGACACAGACAAAGAGCTGGTGGCACCTTCATTGAATGTTAGGTTGATAATGTCCCAGCCATCCACTATCTCGATTTCTTTGTGTGGGAGAGTTAAACCAGGAGTTGAGAGACAGAGAATGATTTAAACCCAGGCAGGACTACCATGCCCCCCCACAGAATTCAGGGTATGGGAGCGGACTGAACAAAGAGAAAATTAGTGAGTACCAGGAAATGTGAGTCCAGTCACATTGAGGGTAATTTTTCTTTATTTTGTGGTTTGGTTTAAACTGCTCTGTGTGAATCTATGCCTCCCGTCCCCATTTACTACCATCTAAGCATTGTTCCAAGACTTTTCTCTGTTTTTTCAAATTGCTTTCCTTAGTTGCTCTGTACATCTAGCAACCAAATATGCTTTATCAAGTTTATCTTCTGTAATAAAAATCACTTATTTTAAGGTGATGATTTGATTCTTGTGTCTTGGAAGGTCTATCTGTGTGTATCTGCAGGCATCTGATTTAATGTCAGCTAACAGAGACTGCAGCTTATTTTTCTCTTTTGTTTTTTCAAGCTCTCTTGTGGCAGAGGAGCTTGTGGTACCCCTCGGGGTGATTTCAAGTGTTCACCCCTGTTTTTTTAGGGATCAAAGCACTTAAAAAACTTGGTGGCAGCAAGTTCCCCAAAATCTGTGTATTATGATTCTGGGGGAAAGTTTTTGTAACCAGTGCCTGTGGAGGCAAGGTTTTGTGGGCCCCCACCTTCTGCATTCAGAGTGCCAGAGTGGAAAACAGCCATGACAGAGTCTAACACTGTAAATATTTGGGAACATGGAAGGTATCTCATTCTGTGTTTATGGTGCCATATACATTTTTTAAAATAATGATAATATATACTAATAAATTCTCAATGTAGGAAGGAAAATATGAAGATAAAATCTTTTAGACTATTTATCATTTTGTTTAGATTGCCGAAAAAACAGAAATAAAAATAGCAGAATCTCGAGAGGGCTACAGACCCATTGCAAAGCATTCATCGGTGCTGTTCTTTAGTATTGCAGACCTAGCTAACATCGACCCCATGTACCAGTACTCTCTCACTTGGTTTGTTAATCTCTATATCAACTCTATTCATGACAGGTAAGTACTTCTGTTTTGTTTCATTGTGGCCCAGTTTTTTAGAAATGACCTCTAACTTTGCTGTGACAGATTTATTCCAGCAAATATCAGCATCTGTATTTTAGCATCTGTATTTTTGCATCTGCAGTTTTATAGAAACAAATATTAGTAAGTTTCTGAATGAATTGCCAGCAGTGCAGCTAGGATGGGTTCAGCTCCCCTAATAGGCAGATCAGATGAGAGATCCAGGTTGTGGTGAGGGTCTATCAGCCACTGAACCTGCCCTCTTTAAACACAGACTCTCCACACACAAAACATCTTTTATTAAGAAAAGTAAGGTGATTCTTAGCTTCAAAGTGGTCAGTTCACTCACCAGAAACACGCTCTTTAATATGTCACACAAAGGACACCACTCCCTATAGTAATCTGCGGCAGCATTATTTTTAGAGGATTCCAAATTTGGTGTGAATTAAAACTGATAATGAGTAGTGAGAGTACTACTGAGTACAACTAGATTTGCAATTAATCAATTTGGCTAGGATTTTCAAAGGAACTCCCTTTGGAGGCAGTTGGTTGTATAATGCCTTTAAGTAATAAAGTGATAGGGAATAGCCAGCATGGGCTTGTGAAGAACAAGTCATGCCAAACTAATCTGATAGCTTTCTTTGAAAAGATAACGAGCCTTGTGGATAAGGGAGAAGCGGTGGATGTCATATACCTAGACTTTAGTAAGGCATTTGATATGGTCTCGCATGATATTCTTATTGATAAACTAGGCAAATATAACTTAGATAGGGCCACGATAAGGTGGGTGCATAATTGGCTGGATAACCGTAGTCAGAGAGTTGTTGTTAACGGTTCTAAATCCTGCTGGAAAGGGATAACAAGTGGAGTTCCTCAAGGGTCTGTTTTGGGACCCGTACTATTCAATATCTTCATCAATGATGTAGATATTGGGATAGAGAGTACTCTTATTAAGTTTGCAGATGATACCAAACTGGGTGGGGTTGCGACTTCTTTGGAGGATAGAGACATAATTCAAAATGACCTTAGCAAGTTAGAGAAATGGTCAGAGGTAAACAAGATGAGGTTTAATAAAGAGAAATGCAAAGTGCTCCACTTAGGAAGGAACAATCAGTTCCATACATACAAGATGGGAAGCGACTGTCTAGGAAGGAGCATGGCGGAAAGGGATCTAGGGGTCATAGTGGACCACAAGTTGAATATGAGTCAACAGTGTGATGCTGTTGCAAAAAAAGCAAATATGATTCTAGGTTGTATCAACAGGGGTGTTGTAAGCAAAACTCGTGAAGTCATTCTGCCGCTCTATTCTGCACTAGTTAGGCCTCAGCTGGAGTACTCTGTCCAGTTCTGGGCGCCACATTTCAAGAAAGATGTGGAGAAATTGGAAAGGGTACAGAGAAGAGCGACAAGAATGATTAAAGGTTTAGAGAACATGACCTATGAAGCCAGGCTTCATGAACTGGGCTTGTTTAGTTTGGAAAAAAGAAGATTAAGGGGGGACATGATAGCGGTTTTCAAATATCTAAAAGGGTGTCACAAGGAGGAAGGCGAAAATTTGTTCCTCTTGGTTTCTGAGGACAGGACAAGGAGTAATGGGCTTAAAGTGCAGCAGGGGAAGTTTAGATTGGACATTAGGAAAAAATTCCTAACTGTCAGGGTGATCAAATATTGGAATAAATTGCCAAGGGAGGTGGTGGAATCTCCCTGTCTGGAGATATTTAAGAACAGGTTAGATAGACATCTGTCAGGGATGGTGTAGACGGAGCTTGATCCTGCCTTGAGGGCGGGGGGCTGGACTCGATGACCTCTCGAGGTCCCTTCCAGTCCTATTATTCTATGATTCTATAAGTGCATTTGAAAATGCCAGCCTTATATCCCAGTAAATTCTTTCAAAGAGCTTTGGATATCTTATTTAGTTGCCTGATTCAATATATCTATAAATGTTCCTTTATAGTAACAAATCCAAAATTTTGGAGAAGCGTCTTCGATATCTAAATGACCACTTCACATACAACCTGTATTGCAATGTGTGCCGTTCATTGTTTGAGAAGGATAAGCTGCTGTTTTCCTTTTTATTGTGCTGCAATCTTCTCCTGTAAGTTTCATCTTTTTTCATCATAATTCCAAGACAATTATTTTTCTTACACTGAAAGTATTTACAAATAATAGACTACTTTGATACATATGGTGATAAGTTTTTAGTCATGAAATGTGAGTGCTTTTGCTCCCATAGATCAAAGGTTTTGTTAGTAATTTGTCTGGGAAGATGAGGCCTCCAAATATCTTATTAATTTCTTCCTTTTTTTGTTTTTATGGCACCCTGTATGGCATAGTGTGAATGGTAAACTTCATTTAAAAAAACGGTTTAAGGAAAAAGAGAGTGGTCTGTCTTTCTAGGTCATATCACTCTCCCTTTCTTAAGGAGCCTTTCTTTTTTCCGTTTCTACTATTTCCTTCTCTTACACTTTTTCTTGCAGCATGAGATTTAGACTCTCCATTCTGGTTATCTGGCTGTGCCACTACTTATGCACAATCTAGTATGTGTGGGTATGTCTAGATTACATGCCTCTACCGACAGAGGTATGTAAAATAGGCTATCCGACATAGTCAATGAAGCCAGGATTTAAATATCCCCGGCTTCATTAAAATAAAAATGACCGTCGCGCTGTGCTGGGTCAGCTATCGTCGGAACAGCACGCGAGTCAAGACGTGGATCGGTCAGCAAGGGAAGCCTTGGTTGACCGCTCCCCTATGCCTCATAAAACGAGGTTTACAGGAGAGGTCAACAAAGGCTTCCCTTGTCGACTGATCCGCGTCTTGACTAGTGCCCTGTGCTGACAATCAGCTGAGCCATCACAGCGCGGTGGCCATTTTTATTTGAATGAAGTCGGGGATATTTAAATCCTGGCTTCATTGACTATGTCTGGTAGCCTATTTTACAGGCCTCGGTCGGCAGAGACATGTAATCTAGACGTACCCTGTGTGTGTGCATTGAGGGAAGAAAGGAAGGTAAGGTACACGTTGCTACTTGGGAACATCATAAGCCATGGTTATATTCATACATTTTTTAATAATTAGGCTCTACAATCATAGTAATTTATATTGCTTACCTGTAAACCATATGAATTTATAGTGAATGCTAGTATCTTATGCATCATGTCCACAATCTCTTCCTTGCTTCCTTATGCATGGGAGGCCCTTCTTGAGCTAATTTTTAGGCCAGATCCATCTTCACCACATTCTCTCTCAAGATCCATCTATCCTCCATACTTCTAGGAAATCAGCCAATGACTTAGGGTTAGGGTGGGACACAAGCAGTAGATGAGACTTTTTATAAGTAAAAAGAAGTGAATTGTATACATTACCTTTCCTTACCCTTAATGTATCATTTTTTCTTACAATGTTTGTAAATTGCCTAACACAATGAGGCCCTGGGACCTCAGATGTTATTAGATTCTGAATGCTGTAAAATAAAAATGGAACATAATTCATTCAAAACAGTTTTTGCTTCATCCTATGTCAAAATGCATTTTTAATATAACTGCATGTTGCTTACAAACTATTCTGTCATTCTTCTGAACTTAGGGACAGGAAAGAGATAGAACAACTGGAATTTATGTTCCTATTAACTGGAGGAGTGGGTCTTAAAAACAAATACAAGAATCCAGATCCATCTTGGCTACAAGATAAGAGCTGGGATGAACTATGTCGTGCAAGTGATTTCTCAGCATTTAGAGGACTGAGGTATAGTAAAAATCCATTGTGAAATTGGGAAAAAAAACCCTACATTTAAGCAATATTTTTTAGACTTTTTCAGACCATACCCAAATATCAATGAGACAGTGATACCTGTACAACATCAATTGTGCCTTGGCTTCAGAAGTGAGTCCCTCTTTGTCACACATTGTAGGGAAGTTGTTCCACATACACAAGTCAGGAGGCTAATTAATTAGAAAGTTATTTCAAGTTTTATTCTAGTAACTATCAGTATGAATCCTATAAATTCACGGATAAAGAATTTGTCTTTCTGGAGTGGGCTGTATTACTTAGTAAGTCCCTTCATGGTAGAAGAATCCTACTTTGAATAGGGACAGATGTGATCAAGGGGTGTCCCTGATAGCACAATTCTGTTGCAGCTGTGAGAGAGGAGCCACTAGTGAAAAAATTGTGTTCCCACTGAAGTCAGTTACAGTTTTGCCATTGATTTTAATAAGATCAAGATTTCATCTTAGGATTTTAGAGCCAGTACAAAGGCACAAGCCTTCCATATACGTCTCCTGCAGATTCCAAGGCATTTATAGGTTTGGCAGTGGGCACTACCAATCATTTCATAGTGGATCAAACCCATACTCTGATAAAACAACAAGAGTTGTTTGGAATTCTCCTTCTTTATTGTCCACCTCTGCTTTAAATTTAAGTTTTATGGTGGGGAAGAGCTCAGGAACTGGACTAATGTGAAAAAGTCTTTGTGCCTCTAATGGGATAACCTATGGAAGGATGTTCCAGGGAAGAAAATTCCAAAAGATTCCTTTTCATTGTGTTTCCTCTGAATCCTTCTGTTGAGTAGTGGTGAGATCCAAGCAGATCTTGGGGGATCCACTGGAGACTAAGGCCAAACAGATGGAGGCTTTGTTCCTCCACACCAGCTTAGGCAGCCTCTCCCACTTACCATCCTAGAAGTCAGGTAAGAAGTAGAATAGTAGTATTCTATTTTTTACTGGTTGCAAGGGAGAATAATGCCCATCAGATAGATTTTATGAATTGTACTGCATATGACCATATTTCATTGTTCTCCTTTTAATCAAATTAATTTGTGTAAAGCTAAACTCTGACAATGATTTTTCTTTTAGGAGTCATATTTCTGAAAATGCTAGTGAGTGGCGTAAAATCTATGACAGCAAAGAGCCACACAATGTTCTTTTACCAAAGCCATGGGATAAAACGTTGAATGAACTACAGAAGATGATCATTCTTCGGTGCCTAAGATCAGACAAGGTAAAAGGTCACAGAAACATTTGTTTGTAGACAATTACTTTGCAGTACACTTTGATAATTATTATTTCAACTGTAGTGCTTACCCTTATTTATGCCACTATTAGTACCCGCATGCCCCATGCACTTGAGAGCCAGATATTTTGGCTTCCAGTATAGAGATGCTTGTACACTCTGAGGTTATGTCTACACTACCAGCTTTTGCTGGCAGAGAGTATGCTAATCAAGTGTTCATTAGCATTTGTTGTGCTGTCATTAGCATATTCTCTGCCTGAGGCTTTTTGCACAAGAGGTTTTTGCGCAAAAACAAGCAATGTAGACGGGTTCATTCTGCACAAAAACTCCCTTTTGTGAAAGATCTGTATACCTCCTTTTTTGAGGCATAAGGATTTTGCACAAAAGGGAGTTTATGCACAAAATGGACCTGTCTACACTGCTTGTTTTTGCGCAAAAACCTCTTGTGCAAAAAGCCTCAGGCAGAGAATATGCTAATGACAGTGCAACAAATGCTAATGAGTGCTTCATTAGCATACTCTCAGCCAGCAAAAGCCAACAGTGTAGACATAGCCTGAATGTTCCTGTTCTCCTGTACAAAGGGCATTAAGGACAAATTGGGCCCAAATGCCCTTTAGTTCCTTTTTACTGCCTGTGATTGTGAGACAGAACCTTGGTAGAATTGCTGTCCTGGTAGTTTTTAGGTATATAGTTTTAGATGAAGGTTGGATTTAGTGTACATAGCATAGTACCATTGCAAATATTAATATAGAGGTTTTTTTTTCATGTCATGAAATTATTTTCATAGTACCAGGAGTTAGTCATAGCTGAACTGAAGTCTCCCAGATTCAAGAACTGCTCATCCTGTGAAGCAGATACATTACTTAAAATCAGTTACAAGAGGGTTTTTATGTTTTTGGATTTTTTCCTCTTGGGAAGGCACACATTCCTTAAAAAGGCTCTTTCATTCCTTTTAAAAAAGGATGCAGATTGCTAAGAGGCTTGCCTGAAGCCTTTTCTTCCTGACCATTCATTGAAGCCAGCGGATCCATGAAAGCAAGCCCACCCTGGACATAAATGTTCTTTGCTCAGGGATGTTTTTGTGAGTTCTGGCTCCATCTCCTGTTCTCAACCCCCTTCCTCAAAAATGGCCTTGTAAAGATCCATGGATCAAGAGCCTCAGTCTGCTGGTTTCTGAGTAACTGCTGCATTCACATCACCATTCAACATCTGTGATAAAGCTGTGGTTGACAGACTATGAGCTTGATGAGCCCAAGTGCCATAGAAAATGCTGCCCACAGAAGGCCTGATTGGCAGTACTCCCAGCATCCTGATTTGTCCACGCATGCTATTTAAGGGACCCCTGGAGGTTGTTTGTGCAATGAGGCAAATTGCAGACCTTACTCCTGCCTTGTTCCTGTGCTATATAAATGTTTGCACATTCTATATTCTGGGACTGCTGAGTGATCCGTTATGCAGGTTGAGGCAACCTTGAGCACGGTTCCCTGGTTGCAGTAGGCCATCTTGCTACAGTGCAGAATTGCTGGCTCTCATTCTCTCTCTCTCTCTCTTTCTTACCACTTGCACTGTGAGTATTCCTAGGGCCTGGCAATTCAAAGGGGTTACTGTGGTGGTGACCAGAGTCCTGGCTCCTTTTGAATTGCCACCGGAGCATCACTCTGCACAGCTCTGAGTGGGAGGATGTGCTGTGACCTAGATGGTGCTGAGGGCTGTCTGCCCCATTCCCACCTCTTCTGCCTGCAGTCCCGCCCCTTCCACAAGTGGGTGGAGGGACACAGAGCCAGTCCCCCCATCTTGCTCTGTGGCCCCATGTGGATGTTTATGGACCCTTTATGTTGGCACAGCTGGCACAAAGGGGGCTGCTGGGCAACCATGGATTGGTCCCCAAAAGTGAGTGTGAAATGTGTGCATTGACTGTGAGAGATAGCTACTGAGTTGTATCATGATTTAAGTTACCATGAATATGAAAGATGATATGGTGTCTCCAATCAAAGCAGATTTTTTTTGGCTAAATTTGTGCTAAGAGTATATTTACTTTTTTAAAATGCTAACAATATATTTACTTTTTGAACAGATTAGTCCAGCAATAACAATCTTTGTAACTGACAAACTGGGGAAGAAGTTTGTAGAGCCACCACCATTTGATCTAACAAAAAGTTACTCAGATTCAAATTCAACAGTCCCACTTGTCTTTGTGCTATCTCCAGGAGCTGATCCCATGTCTAGTAAGTATCTTTGAATTAGTGACCTATCAAAATGTCTACTTTTTCGGATTAAGAGCCTGATTCTTCTCCTCTTTGCACCTTATGGAATCATTTACACCTGTGCCGAATAGATGTAAAACATTAACAAATCAGATTGGCAGAATTTTGCCTTGCAGAATAAAAGGGACATAATTTTCAAGTCAAATGGTTTGATGCATTCTGACAAAATTATTATCTAAATAATATATCCTTGTTTTTCACTGTCAGATTTTAACAAAATAGTAGTATAGTTCTTTTATATCAAATATAAAGCAATCTTTTTAACTAAATAATGCTAAAAGATTACATGTTTTATCCAAGGTCTCCTGAAATTTGCAAATGACAAAAACATGGTTGGAAATAAGTTTCAAGCCATCTCGTTGGGACAGGGTCAAGGACCTATAGCTACAAAAATGATTAGAGAAGGAATGGAAGAAGGGACCTGGGTTTGTTTACAGAATTGTCATCTTGCTGTCTCCTGGATGCCGATGCTAGAGAAAATATGTGAAGAGTTTAACCATGACACTTGCCATCAATTCTTCAGACTTTGGCTTACCAGTTATCCATCACCTAAGGTACTTCGATTTCCAGAGGATGCTAATTACACATTTAATGATAGTGTTCTGTAATAAATCATTTTGTAATCCAAAATAAGATAAACACACTGCAATTTTGGCTAGGATTTTCAAACTTGTACACACAAAGGCTATGTCTAGACTGCAGGCTTCTTTCGAAAGAGGCTCTTTCGAAAGCATCTTTCGAAAGAGCCTCTTTCAAAAGATCACGTCTAGACTGCAGGCGGATCTTTCGAAAGAGAAATCCGCTTTTTCGAAAGAGAGCACCCAGCGAGTCTGGATGCTCTCTTTCGAAGACGGCCTCTTTACATTGAAGAACGCCTTCTTTCGAAAGAGGAACTTTTGAAAGAAGGCGTTCTTCCTCGTGAAACGAGGTTTACCGCCATCGAAAGAAAAGCCGCGTTCTTTCGAAATAATTTCGAAAGAACGCGGCTTGAGTCTGGACGCAGGGGAAGTTTTTTCGGGAAAAGGCTACTTTTCCCGAAAAAACCCCTGAGTCTGGACACGGCCAAAGTGGGTGCACATTTTTTAAACAATCTCTCTAATTATAGGATCTTTAAGAATATACGTATACAATATATGTTTTATTATCTACAAGTACCTTTGTTGTTTTTAAGAGGCAAAAGTACCTGACATCTGTTTAATTTTGTATGGGTCCAGATTGTTGCTGTTGACAGTGTTTGGAACAAAACCTGATGAAACACTTGGTTTAGCAGAAATGTCTATTTTTTTTAGTGAAAACAAAGCTTCTTGCATTCATCTAATACTTTAAATATCAACATCTTCAATTTTGAATTTTAAAATACGTAACAGTTAAATGTTTTTGCTGTGTCTATATATGTTGTGTTGTTGTTGTTAGTGATTATGTAGTACCATAAATTTGCTTGGTGCTCTCAAACATTTTAGGGCACATTCTTTCCTCTAAGAAACCTACAAGCTAAGGCCCTCTAGCTGCAAACACATACTTCTTGGGAAAAAGGAGACGGTAGAAGATATTTTTGGAAAAAACAGATTTTAAGGAGGACTTGAAAGAAGTGAGAAGAAGCTCTTGGTGAATAAGATGAGAAAGACTGTTCCAGGTGTAGGAGGAAGCAATGATAAAAATGTAAAAATGAAAAAAGGAACAGTGATGTGAGGAGATTCATAATTTAATCAGCAAAGGACAGTTGTTTTTAATTATATTAGAAAATATAAAAATACAAAGCAGGCTTTTGAACATTATTGGCACTAATGTAAGTCTTCTGAACAGAAATGACTGTATCTTGTCTATACCTGCACATTCATACAGTTTTTATTGCTGTCCAGGAGAGGTTGCACATCTGCATTCCAGGGCTGAATTTAGCTTTTGTGTATTTAATTTATAGGACTTTGAGCATCAAAAAAGTAGTTAAAAATACAAATATGTTTATACTTGCATAGAAATATTTGTTTATTTTAAATCACTCTCCTGATGCAATGTTGCTATTTGTTTTGTTTAGTTTCCCGTAACCATTCTGCAGAATGGAGTAAAGATGACAAATGAGTCGCCTACAGGTCTCCGGTTAAATCTGCTTCAGTCTTATGTCTCAGATCCACTTTCTGACCCCACCTTCTTCTCTGGATGCCCTGGAAAGGAGGAGGTAAGTTGCTCATTGTTTGACATATTTATTTACTCATTATAGCCATGAAGCTTCTAATCTAATACTTTCCCTAAAATGATGAGCTACTGTTTTGCACAGAGAGTAAATGGTTAATCAATAAAATACTCCATACGTGGTCCTATCATGACTTCACAAGCTTCCTCCATGCCAATCATTTCAGCCTGCAGTCCAATTCTCCTAGTTCATTACAGGGGTTTGTAATCATAGAATCATAGAATAATAGGCCTGGAAGGGACCTCAAGAGGTCATCGAGTCCAGCCCCCCGCCCTCAAGGCAGGACCACGCTCCGTCTACACCATCCCTGACAGATGTCTATCTAACCTGTTCTTAAATATCTCCAGAGAGGGAGATTCCACCCCCTCCCTTGGCAATTTATTCCAATATTTGATCACCCTGACAGTTAGGAATTTTTTCCTAATGTCCAATCTAAACCTCCCCTGCTGCACTTTAAGCCCATTACTCCTTGTCCTGTCCTCAGAAACCAAGAGGAACAAATTTTCTCCTTCCTCCTTGTGACCCCCTTTTAGATATTTGAAAACCGCTATCATGTCCCCCCTTAATCTTCTTTTTTCCAAACTAAACAAGCCCAGTTCATGAAGCCTGGCTTCATAGGTCATGTTCTCTAAACCTTTAATCATTCTTGTCGCTCTTCTCTGTACCCTTTCCAATTTCTCCACATCTTTCTTGAAATGTGGCGCCCAGAACTGGACACAGTACTCCAGCTGAGGCCTAACTAGTGCAGAGTAGAGCGGCAGAATGACTTCACGAGTTTTGCTTTCAACACACCTGTTGATACAACCTAAAATCATATTTGCTTTTTTTGCAACAGCATCACACTGTTGACTCATATTCAACTTGTGGTCCACTATGACCCCTAGATCCCTTTCCACCATGCTCCTTCCTAGACAGTCGCTTCCCATCTTGTATGTATGGAACTGATTGTTCCTTCCTAAGTGGAGCACTTTGCATTTCTCTTTATTAAACCTCATCCTGTTTACCTCTGACCATTTCTCTAACTTGCTAAGGTCATTTTGAATTATGTCCCTATCCTCCAAAGAAGTCGCAACCCCACCCAGTTTGGTATCATCTGCAAACTTAATAAGCGTACTCTCTATCCCAATATCTACATCATTGATGAAGATATTGAACAGTACGGGTCCCAAAACAGACCCTTGAGGAACTCCACTTGCTATCCCTTTCCAGCAGGATTTAGAACCGTTAACAACAACTCTCTGACTACGGTTATCCAGCCAATTATGCACCCACCTTATCGTGGCCCTATCTAAGTTATATTTGCCTAGTTTATCAATAAGAATATCATGCGAGACCGTATCAAATGCCTTACTAAAGTCTAGGTATATGACATCCACCGCTTCTCCCTTATCCACAAGGCTCGTTATCTTATCAAAGAAAGCTATCAGATTAGTTTGGCATGACTTGTTCTTCCCAAGTGTACAGTATTAATGCAGAGAGCTTTTCTCCCCATAGAACTTCAATAGATAAATGGAAACTGAAGAAAGCAGTGAAATAATTTCCTTCCAGGCAAAACATGAGAAAACAAACATCAGTGTTCCTCTAGCCCAGGGTGGAGAACCGTTTTTGGTCAGGGTCATTGACCCACAGAAAAATCAGTTGTGGGTACACACAAGTGAGAAATAAAAACAAAACAAAACAAAAACACCCCTCACCAGTTTGGGCGCTCCAATGCCAAGGGGAGCCCTGAGCTTCAGGGGCTAGATCCAGGCAAACTGGGGGCTGCATCCGGCCATAGATTCCTCACCCCTGCTCTAGCCCATTAGTGAGAAACTCCTGCTAAATAAATAGAAGTAAGGGAGATGGGAGAAGGGGTCAAACCTGGCCATGGTACAATACTGAGGCATGGGGAAAGTTCCTTTCTACACTTAATTGCCTCAAGTCAAGATGACGTTGAAAAGAATGAAAAAGACTTTGCATTGCCATGCTGAACCCACAAGCATCATCATTGCTGAGAAGGTGAGCACCAAGAAGACTTTATCTCACTATCACATTGTTGGTATCTGTTCTTCACTGAGTATCCTCTGCATACTGCTACTCATGGAATATTCTGACCAGTACAGCTGGAATGGTAGAAGTGTAGCTGTTTGTTGGAGTGCTGGCATACCACTCTATGGTCTGCTCCTTTTTAATGATTATTAGTGCTTGTGTTGATTGCCAGTTGCGACTAATTAATGAGCTGATATAATAGGATTCTCATCCAAGAATCAAGCTCTATAGAATTAAAACTGACAAGGTCGATATCTTCCAGGGATACCTATGTCTATTTATGTGAGATCTATGGCTAAATCATTGCAGGAGGGAGAGTTCCTGTAGCTGAGTGATCGTCATCTATCTTTTCAGCCATTTTTTTATCCTGTCAGGGAAGGAATCATTATTATCAGCCTCGACATCATTCTCAATATCTTCTGCACTTCCTTCAGGGCTGCAGATTTCACACAAGGATAGAAAGCTACAATCCAGCCTTTCTTAACTCTTTTACCACTACCACCCTGCTTGGAAACCCTCTGTCCTGAATTTGCCATCAGTGACAGGTTGATTATATAGCTTATTGCATGTGGTTCCTCCCTACAGTTCAAAACCCTTTCTCCTCTCACCTGATCTTCTCCCCCAGTCACAGATACAGTTCAAGAGAACCTGCTGAGAGAGGAGGCATGTTCTTTGTTACTGTTAGGGGCAATAGAAGAGGTGCCTCACAAGCAAAAAGGGACGGGGCTTTATTCACATAATCTTTTCTTGGAATCAAGAAAATAGAGGTCTTCATCCCATGTTGGAGCTCAGAAATTTTAAACACTTTTATTAAAAAGGTTTATTCCATGTATTGTGTCTCGCTCATAACTAGGGTTGCCAGGCATCTGGTTTTCAACCAGAATGTCCAGTCAAAAAGGGACCCTGGTAGCTCTGGTCAGTAGTACCAAGTGGGCCATTAAGTCTGGTGGGTGATGCAACAGGGTCCCAGAGCTAAGGCAGGCTCTTTACCTGTCCTGGTGCTGCGTGGCTCCTGGAAGTGGCCATTAGGTCCGTATGGCCCCTAGAGCAGGGCTGGGCAAGAAGTTAGCCAGATCCGGCCTTCTTAACACTTCCCAACACAAATGCATTGCCTGGGAGCTGCCAGGGAGGAGTGAGCCCTTTCAACTCCTGCTAGTTAAAGGGCTTGCACCTTCCCGGCAGCTGCCAAGCAACATGTTAGCTGCCTGGAACCTGCAAGCCCTTTAAACAGAAACAGTTGAAAGGGCTCACAGCTCCCGGCTCGCTGCTAATGTGTTGTCTCGGAGCCACCAGGGAGGTGCAAACCCTTTCAACTCCTGCTATTTAAAGGCCCCACTCCTTCCCAAGGCCCCGCCCCTTCCACCTGAGGTCCATGACCATTTCTGAAACTTGTGAAGTGGCCCCCCTTCAAGAATTATTGCCTATCCCCTGCCCTAGAGGCAAGGGGGCTCTGTGCATTGTCTCTACCCCCAGTGCCAGTTATATAGTTCCAAAGGGCTAAGAACCATAACTGCAGGGGCAAGGGCGGCAAGTGGAGCCTCCACATCTAGGAGTTGCATGGCCCTGGAAGCCACTTCTTGGAAGCCATGGTAGGCACTTCCAGGACTCTGAACCCCCTTCCATGCCCAAACCCCTTGCCCTAGCCTAGAGTCTCCCAGCCCTCTGCCCCAGTCCTAAACCCCCTGTTTCTGCATTCTGGCCCATACGATAGCCTACACCCCTATCAAGAGCCGTCACCCACTCTGCACCTCTACTCCCTGTCCAAGCCTAGAGCCCCCTCATACAATCCAAACTGTTCATCCCTTTCTCCACCTCAGAGGCCTGCACTCCCAGCCAGAGCCCTCACCCCTCTCCTGCAACCCAGCCCTTCTGTCCTAGACCAGTGAAAGTGAGTGAGGACTGCAGAATGCAAGCGATGGGGGGAGAGGAGATAGAGTGAGTGGGAGCAGGGCCTCAGAGAAGGGGAGGACAGGAACCCAGGGAAGGAGTAGAGCAGAGATGTTTGGTTTTGTAGGATTAGAAAATTAATAGCCCAATATATAACCCCTTCTCTTTCACATTAGGACTGGTTTGAAGCTCCATAAAGTAGAACCTCAGTGTTATGAACCCGTCAGGAAAGGAGGTTATTCATAGCTGTGAAATGTTGGTAACTCTGAACAGCGAAGTGGGCCTTTGCCCACGAAAGCTTATGCTCCGATATATTAGTTAGTCTATAAGGTGCCACAGGACTTCTCATTGCTCACCAGGTTGACATCTCAGATATACAAGTGGTTTCTGCAAGAAGAAATGGTAGCACAGCTCTTCAGCTTATGGGGAACTCTTGTAACAGATGTCTTTGCATCCAAAAGCAACAAGAAGATATGCTGCTCAAGACCAGGCTGAGACAAGCATTTGATATCAGATTAATTTCTGATAAATTGGTGCCAGGGCTTATGTATGCATTTCCCCCAGTTCCCCTCATGCAGAGAGTGATAAAATAAAACAACAGTGGCTAGAGTACTTTTACCATTGTGGTCCAGGCAGTGTTCTGAACTTTATTCACTTGTTCAAAGGGTTATAACCTCTGCCATTAGTACCAGGCTTGTTACAACAATAAGGGGATTGGATGTAAAGCAAATACAGGCAGTCCCTGAGTTACACAGATCCGACTTATTTCGGATCCGTACTTACGAAGGGGGCTTTTCTCGCCCCGGAGGATGCGGGCGGCGGGACCGCCCAGACCCGCCACGGTCCTGCCGCCCGCGTCCTCCAGGGCGAGAAAAACTGCTCTGTCTCTCCCTGGTCTGCTGGGAGGGGAAACAGCTAGTGTGCCCCCCCCCCAGCCGCCCAGACTTTTCTCACAGACGCCTGTGGTAGAGCAGCTGGGGCGCTGCTGGTTGGTCCCGCAGCGCCGCTCCTCGGCACTACTGGACCAGATTCAGCTGCTGTTGAAACCGATCAGTGGCTGATTCCAAGAAGCCCGGGACAAAGAAACTCTGCCTCTGGCTTCCTGTAGTCAGCCGCTGGTCAGTTTCAGCAGCAGCTGACTTGGGGACGCCTGTGGCAGAGCTGCTGGGGTGCTGCTGGGTTGGTCCAGTAGCCCCGCTCCTTGGCGCTACTGGACCAACCCAGCAGCACCCCAGCTGCTCTACCCCAGGTGTCCCCAAGTCAGCTGCTGCTGAAACTGACCAGCGGCTGACTACAGGAAGCCCGAGGCAGAGTTGCTCTGCCTCGGGCTTCCTGTAGTCAGCCGCTGGTCAGTTTCAGCAGCAGCTGACTTGGGGACGCCTGTGGCAGAGCTGCTGGGGTGCTGCTGGGTTGGTCCAGTAGCCCCGCTCCTTGGCGCTACTGGACCAACCCAGCAGCACCCCAGCTGCTCTACCCCAGGTGTCCCCAAGTCAGCTGCTGCTGAAACTGACCAGTGGCTGACTCCAAGAAGCCCGGGACAAAGAAACTCTGCCTCTGGCTTCCTGTAGTCAGCCGCTGGTCAGTTTCAGCAGCAGCTGACTTGGGGACGCCAGTTCCGACTTACGTACAAATTCAACTTATGAACAAACCTACAGTCCCTATCTTGTACGTAATCCGGGGACTGCCTGTATTATTATATGGATCTGTAGTCTCTCACCTCATTACATGGTGGACAAAATTCTGGATTGTTTGAACAGTTGTGTTCTCTAGAAGTACAAAATGTACTGATTAATTCAAGCAAAGAGTTCACACAAAAATATTGTTATAAATGGAAGCCATATTTATTGTTGGTTTTCATGTATGGTATAGATCCATAGACAGCTCTAATTACTTATATATCTGTAGATATTAGAAGGGCTTTAGCTTTCCACTTAGATAGAACTAAGTATATTAAACAGATTGGGAGATTGTCTATCTCTTATGAAAAATGGAATAAAAGAAGAGTGATCAATGTACAAATTCTTTCAAGATAGGTTACGTTATATATTATGAATGTTTATAAGCTGATAGGTCTTCTTCCTGCAAGAATTAGAGCTAATTCTAATAGATGAAAAACAGCTACAATAGCTCTGCCTCTGATTCCTACTTATCAAAACACCTGGGGCTGCATGGGAAGGAACTGAGAGGCAGCTGTCGTGCTATGCCCCTTTTATAACTTTACCCAGGAACATTCTGTATTCATTGAGGAGAGGGGCAAGCAATATGTATAAGCATGCCAACAAACACTGCTTCATAGAATTGTACCATTCAAGCTGCACCAGTCAGAGTGGGAGTATACAGCATCCGTGTAGATGAACTCCCGTTATAGGTAAGTAACCTTTATTTCCTTAGTTAATAAATAAAGACCCCTGTCCTGCAGACCCCCAACTCAGCGTAGTGCATGCATCCCCCAGTAGTCCTGTGGCTTCAATGTTACTACTAGGGTGTGTCTACACTACATGGTTCCATCGACGGAGCCATGTAAAGTAGTTTACCCAACGTAGTCAATGAAGTGGGGATTTAAATAATCCCTGCTTCATTAAAATAAAAATGGCCACCGTGCTGTGCCGACAATCAGCTGATCTGGCACAGCACAGCAGTCTAGATGCAGATCGGTCAACAAAGGCTCCGGTAAACCTCATTTCACAAGGCATAAGGGAGCGGTCAGCAAAGGCTTCCTTTGTCAACCGATCCTCATCTAGACTGCCGTGCTGTGCCGGATCAGCCGATTGTCGGCACAGCGTAGCAGCCATCAGCTGATCTGGCACAGCGTGGCAGTCTAGATGCGGATTGGTCGACAAGGGAAGTCTTGTCGATTTATTTAAATCCCCGCTTCATTGACTATGTCAGGTAAACTACTTTACATGGCTCCATCAACGGAGCCATGTAGTCTAGACACACCCTTAAAGGTGCAAACATTAAACCAAGTGATCAAGGATAGCAGGAATAGGCTTTAAAATGTTAACTGTCAACTACATATTGTAAGTTAGTAGCCTAATATTTTAAAAAACCTTCATGCTAATGATAGTCTAATATTTCTAACCAAAATAGATAATTTAAAATGTTAATGAAATGTTTTTCAAATTGCTTTTGTTGTTTCAGCCATCTGCATAATTTAAAAATTATATATAGCCATGCCAGTTAATTTTTTTCTTTTCTTAAAGACATGGGAAAAACTACTCTTTGGAGTTTGCTTTTTTCATGCTCTTGTTCAGGAGAGAAAGAAGTTTGGCCCTCTTGGTTGGAATATTCCATATGGATTTAATGAATCAGACTTGCGAATCAGTATCAGACAGTTACAGGTAATGTCTTTATTTACTGTTGCTTATGCAGTACAGACGTGGCTGTGTTAAATGCTCAAACATAGAATCCTAAATAGGTTTTCACAGCTTTAGTTAAGATTTGTGACTTTTCAGATATAAATAACACAAATCATATTATGTTTATAAAAATGTTAAATTATTCATTAGCTCAAGAGAAATTTTCTAAAAAATGAAATCAAAGCTATTTGGAACTCAGTGTAGCAGAGTTAAAACCATATTTCAAAGGAGTGCTCATTATCCAGTAGATTCAGAGGGTAGTCGAGTTAGTCTGTACAGGATAAACTTAAAAAACAACAAATAGTCTGGTAATACTTTAAAGACCAACAAAACATGTAGATGGTATCATGAGCTTTCGTGGGCACAGTGCACTTCTTCAGATGCCCACGAAAGCTCATGATACCATCTACATGTTTTGTTAGTCTTTAAAGTACTACCAGATTATTTGTTGTTTTTTAAGTTTATCCAGTATATAATATCAAACCAGTGCTGCTCACTGCTCTAAGTCAAAGGCAATTTTTATATACAGCAAACGGTTAGAGCTATTCTGTCTGACTAGCTCTCCTGAGAATATTTTACCAATTGACTAATCTAGTCATGAAAACTCTGTTGTTGAGTTTGAACTGCTGGAAAAAACTAATGTGGAATCAATGAAAGAAACAAACATTCTGAAGGGTAAAAGCAAGATACTCTGAAACATCCCAGGAAACTTGGTGAAAGAGAGAAACATGCCTTTGCTAGAAAAATCAGGCTGCTGAAGACACACAATTTTAAATACTGTAAGAATGATTAGATGATTTGTTAATCCTGGAATTGATCTTTAGGTGTCTGCACAGTTGTTACTCAGGTAAAACTCCCATTAACTTCAAATGTGAGTTTATCTTAGTAACGACTTCCAAGTTTGAACTTGTTGCTGCACCTGGAGAGAACATTTACTACATACTCTTCTCTCCCCACTGTGTTGTGCTGTGGGCCTCTCCAGTGGAAGTTTGTGGTCCCATCTCCGCTCCTTTCCTATCATATATATAGTAGCCCAATGTCTGTGACTCTGTAATGCTGAAATGCTGGCTGTTCGCTCTGGGCTGTGCTGTTGCCTGAGTCACGTCTTTTGCCTCCTGCCATGGCACTTGGCTGAGTTCTGCGCCACTCAGCCGGGCTGCTGCCGGGGAGCAAGTGGCCAGGGGCAGATGAGAGTTTTGCGGGGCCCAGGGCAGCCTATTTTGCGGGCCCCCCTTTGGAGAAAAAATAGAAAAAGGCATCAAATGCGCACATTGAAGGCTATTTTCATATTACATGTGAATTGGATAAATTTGATAGAAACTTAATTTAGTTGGATAATTTTTTATTTTAATTATATTGTAATTCATTCGTAAACAACATTCTGCATTAATAATTAAACATTGTCATTCGTATTTAAGTCTGTTATAGCTGTCTAGCTCTTTTGGCAGCTGGGTCTCTAACAGCCGGTGGGAAAAGGGCTTCTCCCCAGCATCAGCCCCTTCTCCAGCCCCAGGCATTGGAGCAGCGAGGTGCCCCGGGGAGCAGGGAAATCCTAACCCAGTTTAGAAGAGGCTGGCTGCTGTGT